TCCCCCAAAAAATCTCTACCAAATAAGCTCTGAATGTGTGATTTAAGATTTCGAGGAAAAAATGAGGGTCAGATAGGGCCTAAATGTAATCATTCGTCTGCTTGAACCCCATTTTTTTTTTAAGTAAAATGTATTGTGAAATAGTAAATTAATAGGGAATATGTTGTTAAAAATGAAGGATTTTTTTTTAGTTACGTGTAATATTATTTTATTGAAAAATATGTGCTTGAAAAGAATGGAGAGAAAAATGAATTTTGAAAAAAAGAGGATCAAACAAGATCAACGAAGAAAAAAGGGTAAAATGTAAAATTTATGCTAATAGGGAAGGTTTCTAAAAAATTTTAAATTGGAAAGGTTCATTTGAAATTGATATAAATATAATCCTGAAATTGCAAATAATAAACTTTGCTGGTGCTGGCTGGTCATGGACCTTCTAGTTAATTACCAAAATCAACGGGACAACACGTATGACTCGACTTTTCTTAGTCTCGTAGAATCTGTTTTAGCTTTGCCCTTTCACATTTATTTTTAGATAGTCACTGCACTTTGACTATGTGACAATTTGACTAGAATGTATTGTGACGTGGCATTGTAGTTATTTGTTAACTAATTTTATCAATCAGACTATCCTGTTCGCATTTTTTTTAATGTTATTTTCTACATTAAAGTAAAATTATTCAATTGGAAACAAAATAAAAGATTTTATTTCTTATTAAAATAAATCAATTTTTTTAGTAAATTTTAATAAAAATTAATAATGTGTGATTGAAAAGTTTTGGATCTTCTGAAATGTGGTTGAAATTAATTTTGACTTTGACTTTGACTTTAAAATTTGAATTTTAATCCCTATCAAACATGAGTTGAGTATTCAAAATTTCTGGAAGATTACATTTAATAAAAAAAGGGTCCCCCAAGATATGACGTCGACTAGATGTTGACAACAAATTATATTCTTTATTATTTTTTCTTTTCCAAATTCATTATTTTATTTTAAAATATAAAAAAAATGTTCGATTACTCGAGCACACAAGACTCGGTTCAAATCAACTGCCAAAAATTAGAAATTAGAAAAATGGTGAACCAAATCCGATTTATCTAACAATTTCAATACATTGGTACTGTCCTATCGAGAAAGATAAAATCACAAACTGTAACAACACCTAAATAACTTCATTCAAGGAGTCAAATAGGTCCAAAAGAAAGTTAGAGATCGAGTTAGCTGACATACATTTTGGTTAGTTACACCATCAATTAAGGAGATGAGCAGCTTCTGAAACCGACTATTATAATCATAGAATTCCGATCTAGTTCATAATCTATTAGAGGTAAAATACACTCCAATGAAATCCTCACAAGCATAAAAAAAAACTGTTGTCTGTTACAAGAAAATGAAGCAACAAATTCTCTTGTCAAAGACTTCCAATTTGTGGGGTCAGCATGGCCGTCGACCAGCAACCCCTTTTTTTGAATAGCCAAAAAAGGAAGAACTGAAACATTCAAAGTACATGGTCAAGAATTAAGAGAATCTGAAACAGACAAGTTACCGTTCATACGCGACTGACTGACTAGTAATGCTTTTGAAATTTCTACAAGCAAAGGTTTTTTTTCCAACTGTAATGAGATGAAAATTGGAGTTTGAAGGCCAGTTGATTCGAATTTCCTCATTTCAGATGAGAAAAGTGCACTTCATCTCTCAGTAGAGTAAGTAACGAACTCTGTAGAAGTGAACTGAAATGGTCGGCGTATATGATATATTAATCAATTAGATATATGCAATATAGAATGACTACGATAATCATTCACTATGAATATCATTACTTTTTTTATCCATTTACATGCCTCGCAGAACAGTGGCCCATTTAAGCCGACAAATCTTGAAATTCGTGTTATTAGCTCCAGTTTGGAGGCTATTTTTACCTCATTTTTAGAGATTTTTGGACCATTAATGAGATTTCTCCAAAAAAAGAAATTTGCCGTAACGGCGGGACCCTCTGTTAATAAATGTCGAATTGTGTACATTTTCAAGAAAAGAACTTTGACTACTGAAGGTGTGATGGCAAAAGAATTTTCCATCTTCCCAAACTATCTTCCAAATGGTAAAGGAAATGGGAAAGTGCGAGATTATTAATAGAGAGGGTATTTTGGTATATGTGGATGACAACTTGGGGGTATTAAAGTCCAAATAATTTTCAATGGCTTCTATACCCATTGTAATGCTCTGACATTTGAACGACTAATGCCCTGTTGATTGACCCAAGTTTTCCATGGAAAATTAAAAAGGAATTCCATCTTCCATATTTTGCATGTTTGATGCACATTTTTTTTCCAGGCAAAAGATTTTTTTTATTTTGTCTCTCGTACCATTTTCCATGATTTAAGGGAAAACTGATTCCCACCATTTTCCAGTTTAGCCTTTTTTTTAATTATTTTAATTTGTTGTTTTTTGGCAATGGGAACAAATTCTAGACCAAATGGTAAAAAAAAAAATTATCATTTTAATGGACAATTTTCATGAAAAACGAAATCAAACGGACACCAAACTTTCAACATTTTTTAGGTGAAAAATTATATTAATCAAACACAATTAATTACAATTCACAATAGAACAAATCTTAGGTAATTCAATTCCCTGTAATTCATTTTCTTTCCACCCAAATTTCACATTTGCAATCAAACGGACCCTAATAGTGATTTTTAAATTGCATGTCTACTATTGTAAAATGAAAATTCGCATTTTAATGACTACCAAACAAGTACTTAATTTTTAATCTTAATTGAATCAAATCGTTCATTGAAATTTGATGAGATCTGATATCATATTAAAACTTGAACATTTTTATTTTATATGTAGCTCATGACTTTTTTAGGCTCATTTAATTTATGTCATGAAATCAATATTAAAAAATAATTAACAAATGTTAAAAACTTAAAATACTCTTAAATTTAATATTAGTTTCTTAAAAAGTATATATCTATATAGTAATTTAATTTTTAAAATATTATATATTCATATGAAATTTATTTTTTAGTTAATTTAATTTTCGGATCAATCCTTGCCCTCTTTTTTTTTTGGACTTAATGTCCATTTCGATTTTTAAAATATTGGTTGCAACTATCACTCGTGGCTCAACTAAGGCTTTTTTTTTTTNCTATCACTCGTGGCTCAACTAAGTTTTTTTTTTTTTTTTGGTTCAATCTTAAATTAAAAGAATAGGGATTGAGCACAGGAGAATAATGTTTGACAAGACCCTATATTTAATTAAACAAGCTTGTGTATATAGGTGTTCTACACAAAATAGAATAATAAATGAAACAACCTTTAAATGTTTGAAACAATTAAGGTCACTATCTAATCAATGGTTGGATAAATAACACAGACTTCCATTCATTATATATCAATTAACCTCTCTTAATGAAATGAAAGGAACTTTAAGCTATTAGATATGACGTTGTATATATCAAAGAAATCGAATTCTAAAATTATTTCAGTAAATATCTTTATTAGTGGATCAAAATATTATAATACTGACGAACATGGATGATAGCGGTTATGTGATTTATGGGCAAAAGAAGCAGAAAATCTTATATATAGTTCTATACAGCGTCGGCTCATTTTACATAATAAATATTTTCTCAATAATTTATTTAATTTATATGATATTACAATAATCCTAAAGTATTTGTGAAAACGAGGCATGTTACAAAAGGAGAAGAAAATTGTAGCGTACGGGCGGGGGTGGGCCACGTACGGGGTGGGCCAGGTTTAATGATCCAAAACCTGGGAATTTATGGATTATTTATTGATCCTTTCCTTTTATAGTTCTTTGGTACCTGTCGAAGTGTCAAACAATGGCATTGTTGCCTGCCCCATTCGGGTTGGTTCGGATGGGAATGAATAAGGGAAAAATTCATATCTAAGCTGTATTTTTTACCTCAATTCAAAAGTAAGGTAAATAGTTTGAAAATTCAAAAATTAGATATGGATTTAATTAATAAAAAATATTTATTAAATAAAGATAATAAAGTCACAGTTTGTGATTAATGGTCACATATTCATAATTATAAGTTACAGATTTATTTATTGGTCACATATCGTNTATTCATAATTATAAGTTACAGATTTATTTATTGGTCACATATCGTCAAATTTTTTGATCCCAAATTATTTTGAGGTCACATATCAAAAAATTTGTACGTCACAAATTATTTCAAGGTCACAGATTTTTAAATTAGTTGGTCACAGATTAGTTCGAGGTCACAGATTTTTAAATTAATTGGTTACAGATTATTTTTGAGTCACGTATTATTAAATTTTTAGGTCACAATTGAGTAATTGGTCACATGGTCACCGTCACAGTCACAGTCACAGACAAAAAATTTAATGGTCACAAATTCTTCCAGAGTAACATATAACCAAATAATTGCTCACAAATTAACCAAATAATTGCCACGGCCACGGCCAAGGCCAACACCAACCACTATCACCACCACCACACAGAAAACCTTCCAAAACCCACCCCAACCGCCAGATCCACCACCACTACCACTACGACCACCCTCACCCCGCCACCACACCACCTCTACAACGTACCACCACACCCACAGACACCACCACCAATAACAAATAAAAATCATCCCTGCTACAGCCCCTTAAAACCACCACATCTGCTACACCACCACCACACTAACAAAGAAGAAACCACCCTGCTACAGCCCCCTCAAAACCACCACACCACCGTCGCACAACGAAACCCACAACAGACATCTCTCCAACAACCACACCTACCAATCAACCCACAACAGCCGCCGCCTGTAGATAGCAGCGACGATACCAACAAATACACAGCGGCGCCACGCTAGTTCCTCGAAGGGAGGCACCGACAGCTCTTTGGTGCCTCATAGCGAGGAGCTAGCAGAGGCACCGGCAGAGGCGCGATTGCTAGAATAGAGAGAGAGGAGAGGAGAGGAGAGGAGGGGACGTGAGAGAGAGGGGAGAAGAAAAGAGAGAAGGGGCGGGTGTATACTGTAGAGAGAAGATGGAGAAGAAAAATGATGTAGGGTTTGTATTATATTATACCTGATTTGTGAATAGTGAAATTTTGTTCCTGAATTTTGAATTACAATCTTTAAACCCCGGCTATTATGTAATTTCCTCAATGAATAATCCATGTGTTGTTGTATTGAATTAATTTTTTTTTGTTTGTATAAAATAAACAGTTTATATAAAATTATACACGTGGTATACAAAATTAATATAATAAACATTCTATTGTTTGTAAACTCAAAAGATCTTTCATCTATGCATTGTAAAGTGTAACAAATAATATTATTCCCAACTCATAGGCTCGTGGCTCGTTGTCGTTCAAGGTGCTTATTAGCACCAACAACTGGCTAGACAATAATTGGTGATAGTTTGAATCCTACAGTTGACTATTAAAATTGGGGGTAAGTTTCCAACATTGTCATAGTTCAGTGTGTATACATACATACAATGTCAAAATGGGTTGAACCGTCTAGGTCTGGTACGATTCACCATGCTAAAAAAACCAACTATTGGCTAGACAATAATTGGCGATCGTTTGAATCCTATAGTTGACTACTAAAATTGGGGGTAAGTTTCCAACATTACCATAGTTCAGCGTGTATACGTACATACGATGTCAAAATGGGTTGAATCGTCTAGGTCTGGTACGATTCACCATGCTAAAAAAACAACCAAAATCTATCAATGCTGATATAATGATTGACAATCATAATAAAAGGATCGTGGTGAGCTTTATTGTCTAGTTTGACCACCTACGAGGAGCAGCCCAATTGACCTCTTGTATTCGCATAGTATTGTACTCTACTTCTCATTCTTACAACATCTAAGTTTTCATACTCTTTTTTTTTATTCGTTTTTAAATCCAAATCTTTTAGTTCAATTAAAAAAAATCACAAAAACAACATTAAATTAACCCCACAAAATTTAAAACAACAAACAAGGAACAATTATACGAATATTTTGTGTTAGTCTATTCGATCAATTGCTTTGATTTTCTTTTCGATGGCAAAAATTACAAATATTGAATGAATAATGCTATTTGCAGTCGCTCACTTTCGTAGTTATTCTACGTGGCATAAATGTGATCACATCAAATAATTAACCGTCACATGTATACTACGTAGGGACACTACGATAGTGAGCGGCTGCAAATAACATTATTTTCTAAAAAAATAGAACATTTTATTGGCCGACAAAACCTGGTACTCTGCTACATGTAAACAAAAGACCGAAAACCCATAAATGTCAAAAATTAACATCTACATTAGTTTCCCTGAAATGTTAGGTGTGCTATTTTAAAGGCAGTAAGATATACAATAAATAATTATTGAATTTATTAAAAGGTAGGTACATATTGAATTCCTTTAATAAATATCATAATAAAATTTAGTTGGACACTCTTTTCAATCATTTATTCTGAGGCAAAAAGCTTGAAAATGTCAGTACATATGCACAACTACTATAGGATTTTGAGTTAATGGAGTAAAAGTCATCTTCAGATATATGCCAATGTTTGGTCAGTATTAAAATTTGATTTTAATTCAAGTCAAAGTCAAAATAATAAATATTAACAACATATCTTATGGGTCCCACAACTTTTCAACCACACATTTCAAAAACTTCTATCACAATCTACTAAAAATTCTAATTTTAATCCCTATATAAAATTATTTAGTACTATGGGTTCTAGAAGAACGTTCTTTTACACACAAACAAGAAATCGATGTTTTAGTCGAGACTACCTATATCCCTTCATTTATATATCTGTTGCAGATTTCGTTCTATCTATTCTGTTAGTTATAAAGACATTACTCTCAATAGAGATACGAAAAGATAAGTAACTTACGTTCTTATTCACTTATAGGTAAACTTTTAAGCCTAACCTAATATTCTCTTATCTTCTTGTACTATAATTCTGTCCTAGAAAATTTTAAACATTATTAGGACAGGAAACAAATGAATGGAACATCCTTGAGAACTTAGGGTATGTTCTCTTTATCATTTTCAAATCGTTTTTTATTTTCGATTTTTCAAAATAGTGAAAACGCGTTCTCTTTTCTATTTTTTAAAATGCGTTTTTGAAAACAAGTTAAAAATTTACAAAGAAAACACAAAACGACAATTTGTCGTTTTGGGTGTTTTCAGTTATAATCAAACTAAAATTTTCAAAACGCATTTTTGGTGTTTTCAAAACAATTTTTCAAAATGCAAAAAAAACACATTTTCAACAATCTCAAAATGAACACTCAAAACACAAAATCCAAAATGAATTCAAAACTCAAAACACAAAATTAAAATACAAAGAGAATAACCCTTTAATTTCTACCACAATGACATTTTTCTTTAAACCGTATTTCTTCACAATATATGTGACCAAAAGTATGAATGCATTTACATTTAGATTTGATAAACATAATTCGTAATATTAACTACAGTTTATTAAAGAAGAAAAACACAATCAAATATGGTACACCATAATATCCAATCTCCTTTTTTGTCACATACTTGCTATAATTGTCGGGGGATTTGGGGTCGCCCCGAATTCTCAAATAGTTATGTTAAGATCAAATCGAGGTTTCTTGACTTGCATAGGCAATAAGACAATATTGTTGCATTGAGGGCAGTTAGGATTGCTCTTTGAGATTAGCACATAAAGTAGACAATTAGGACATCCAGTAGCAACCGAAGCATCCATTTTCTCCTCATGATTACTGTCACAATCTTTAACCGAAGACGAAGAATTCGAATGAGTGGACAATGATTTAGACATTGAGATTGAACGCTTTCTTGTCGACTCATTCTCTGCCTTCTTGAGTGCGGACTTAACTTTGTCTAGAGTGCATATGCTTCGGTAATTTGATGTCGGCTTTGAAGTTGACGTTGGAGGGACTAACGTCTTTAAGTCTAAACTAGCATTGTGGAAAAGGCTTAACGTTTGCTTTGATGCTGGAGAGAAGTCGAGGTCTTTTAGCTTCGCAACGGTTTTACCATGTGGCTTATTTTCTGAAGTCGAAGAGCTCGAGATCGAAGAATCACATCTTTGTAAAAAAAACGTTTCCAGACTGCAAAAAAAGTGCAATGCATATTGAGATTTTTAGTATTTTCAAAACAATTTTTCAAAATGCCAAAAAAACACATTTTCAACAATTTCAAAATGAACACTCAAAATACAAAACCCAAAATGAATTCAAAACTCAAAACACAAAATTGAAATACAAAGAGAACAATCCCTTAATTTCTACCACAATGACATTTTTCTTTAAACCGTATTTCTTCACAATATATGTGACCAAAAGTATCAATGCATTTACATTTAGATTTGATAAACATGATTCGTAATATTAACTACAGTTTATTAAAGAAGAAAAACACAATCAAATATGGTACACCATACTATCCAATCTCGTTTTTTGTCACATACTTGCTATAATTGTTGGGGGATTTGGGGTCGCCCCGAATTCTCAAATAGTTATGTTAAGATCAAATCGAGGTTTCTTGACTTGCATAGGCAATAAGACAATATTGTTGCATTGAGGGCAATTAGGATTGCTCTTCGAGATTAGCACATAAAGTAGACAATTAGGACATCCAGTAGCAACCGAAGCATCCATTTTCTCCTCGTGATTACTGTCACAATCTTTAACCGAAGACGAAGAACTCGAATGAGTGGACAATGATTTAGACATCGAGATTGAACGCTTTTTTGTCGACTCATTCTCTGCCTTCTTGAGTGCGGACTTAACTTTGTCTAGAGTGCATATGCTTCGGTAATTTGATGACGGCTTTGAAGTTGACGGTGGAGGGACTAACGTCTTTAAGTCTAAACTAGCATTGTGGAAAAGGTTTAACGTTTGCTTTGATGCTGGATAGAAGTTGAGGTCTTTTAGCTTCGCAACGGTTTTACCATGTGGCTTATTTTCTGAAGTCGAAGAGCTCGAGATCGAAGAATCACATCTTTGTAAAAAAACGTTTCCAGACTGCAAAAAAAAGTGCAATGCATATTGAGACGACCAAATTTCATACTGAATTCAGGTAAATGAACACATAATAAATGGGTTTTATTAAAGTAGTAATAACAACGCCATCAGCAAAAGGCCAGACCAAATAACTACCAGAATAATGAATGCCATTAAAAAAAAAAAACAAAAATGAAAAATCTGAACAGTTTTCTGCATAAAGAACCCTGACGAGATTACAGATGTAATTATAAAATTTAAACTCCTTCGTTGCTCGAACATGGAAAAAAAAAAGATTCTTTATAAAGACGTGATTCTTTTGAGTCCATTTTATCGAGTTTTGAGTTTCTTCTCAAAAGATTTAAAGACTATCGGATTTTACTACTAAGATGGTGGCTCGATTTGAGATCTTTAAACGGATTACACACCCACATAAAAGAAAAAAAATGAAAGTCGCACCTTTAAGTCAAGGCGTTTTTCCCAACCAGAAGGAACTTGCAATTCAAGGTCCAACTCTTTGGAGTCAAGGGTGCAACACCTACCAAGCAAGTCCCTTGTGATCAAGGTCGTTGATTTCCCCGATGATAATTCCGATTCATTCGGTTCACCACCTTTCACCACTCTCATCAAACAACTCACTTCAGTGACCATCTCACCAAAAAATAATTTTTTTTCTCTTTCTTGCAGAACCATATACAGAGAGAGAGAGAGAGAGAGAGAAGAGGGGATGGGCATAGAGATCGAGAAGACTAAATAGGTGGGTTTATATATTGATAGACGACTCAATCTTATTAGATAATGAACCGCCCTTGGTGTGCCGGGTCAGGGTGACAAACACCCTGACCGGCCCCTCACATTAGGGGGGCTCCACATTTTTTTTCAATTTTTTATGCATGTAGGGGCCAGCATCACGTGAGAGTGTGTCAACTTTTTTGTTAATTTTTTTTTTTGTACAAGTAGCTTTTTTGTTAGACAATAGCCGTTAAGAATTATAGCAAAATAAAAACATGTTAAGTGTGAACATTGAACATACAGATTGTACTCTACACGGCTCAATGTGATTGGATAGCCGTAAAATAACGTTGTTTTACACAATTTAAGATTACAATAGAACAACAATGTGTGACAATGCTTACGCATGCGTCAAATAGACGGTCTAATAAAATGATATCATTTTATGCTGTTGAGGACTTAAAAATACGCGACATTATTACAACAACAATATGTTAGCAGAACGACACAACGCTGCTTCTTGTGAACAGTACCCGCTCAAGGCTCTTTCAAGTTAGTTGGGAAATGGAACCCCTTCAAGGGTGGTCGAGTTGGTGGAGCAGGTGAACGCGGAGATTATAGGTCACGAGTTCGAATCCCCTGCCAACACTTCCTCGATCGAGTTCGTCGCACTGAACTTGCGTAGTGCAGTTTACTTTTCCTATATGGTTTGCGAGCTACTACATATGGAGCGGGGTTTATTTAGTGCACACTCACAGTAGTTGGGCATCTGCGGTGGGTAGCGGCTACGGGTTTCTACGAAAAAAAAAGTTAGTTGGGAAATTGAGGCAATTAAGAAAAAAGTTACTCTTGTTTACTGTATATTCAGTCATATTTAGTATTGCACAACATTTTGTACAAGCTTCACGTAAGTTACAAATAAAAATTCCAAAGAGTTTTGAATAAATAAAATTGCAAACACCTTTTGGCTCCCTTGGATAGCTCATTAATTATTGTAATAAAAGCTATTGAAATAATTGCTTCGTCATGTTTATGATTTTATTCTTTAGTTGAGAGCTCCGGTTCATTGAAAATTTTTGCTAAAAAAATTATAAAACACTGCTTTTGTTAAAACGTGCGACGTTTGCATGAAATTGTTAACATGGAGGCATGGCAAGTCATGGAGTGTGCATGAATGTACATAATCACTGCCTACTAAAGTTGACAGTCAACCATATTGAATTGGTGTGACAGAGAGAAATATGAAGCATAAAAATTACATCAATTACAAGCAATTTTTTTTTTTTCAATTTTGACCAAAAATTAAAGGGAAGAGTAAAAGCTTAATTATAAGTAATTTTTCACTTCTTCCTTCTATAATTTTTAATTATTTTTATTTTATTCTAAACGAAATTAGAGATAACAAAAAATTCGTCAAACTCGATACCCGCGGAGGCTCCATCTCGAACAGGATGGGAAATACCAACTTAGTCGAGTATTCGGATCAAGGACAGAGCGGGAGACTTCACTCCAAGGAGAGTACAAGTAAGAAGGCCCTCGGCCCCGTTTAATCTTTAATTATTTTTTTATGAATTCAATAATTTTAATGAAAAATTTCACGAAATTTTGTTAGTTCTAATAGAATATGGTAACTAAGATTATCTAAGGAATATTACAAACAATAAAAATCTTGGTTTACCAAATATATTAGAATAGTTTAACTTTTAAAAATGAATAAATAAATTTAAAAAATTAATAAATATATTATTGTCTCACTTTAATGAATTGGGTATTAAAATGAATTATCAAAAATTGAATTACTAAAAAGAAAATTAATTCATAAACTAACCCTTAATAAAAGGGGGCAAACTTTCCCAATCAACCGCTCCTCTTTGTGTAACCAACCAAACCCGCGGCTAATGTTCTATTTTTCTAATGAAAAAATAAATTATTATTTATTACGTGCTTAGCGCTTACATTTTAAATGCAAGGTGTGAGTTAGAGAAAATTATTTTAATTTTCATGAAATTTGTAAAGCAGTTAAAAAATTTTAAAACCAAGGTTTGAGATAAATAGAAAAGTATTTTAATTTTCATGTAATTTGTAAAGCGGTTGAAATTTTATACATGTCTGCAGAAACGACAACGTTTCACCACAAAATAAATAATTAAACGAATACATTATACAGAAGGACAAAAAGTTAAACAATATTAGGACAGATGCTCTCGTTGAGAGTCGAACTCAAGACCTCCCGCTTACTAAACGGGTGCTCTAACCAACTGAGCTACAAGAGCTTGTTGTTTATGATGGTCGTGTCGACTATTTTACTTTATTAATGATTTTTATTTCCTTAATAAAGAATTCTGAGTCGATAGTAAAGACTATTGTATAACTCTCAAATATAAATATGAGATTTTTCATATACATGTGTGCCGGTTTATTTGTCATTTTTCATCTCATTTTTTGAAGAAATGTTAACGTTTATGCCTTATGGGCCTCACTTAGCCCTCCCCTCCCCTCGCCCCTGCCCTTTTTTTAACTTTTATCTTATAATTTTTCATTTTGCAACGGTTATATTTCTTTTAATAATGAGCAAAAAACGGGCGCTCAAATACAAGCACGATGTTACTCTCATATAACGTTATTATTATGATTATAAACGCTAATTTAATATAAGAATTACAAGTGAAATATTAGATAGACTTCACAATGTATTTTTGTAGAATATAATCATTTATAATTTATTCTTGCATTTTCTAACACTAGTAAAAATGCTCCGGCATAATTTACGGGAAGAATTTCAACGATGTTGTCTTAAAGATGAACATAAAAAAATAAATATAATTATAAATATAAAACAAAAAACATGGCGATTTGGGTGACGTGACATACACTAGTCACATGTGAAAATTCCGTCGATCATGTCGTTGAGTCCATTATGTTTTAAAATGGCAAGTTATGAAGTAATAGATGAGATTCGAAAAACTTTTAAAATTCAATGAAAAAACATTTAAAAAAAAAATCAATCAAGGTTCAAAATTAAAATCTAAATATTAATCTAAGTTGAAGTTATTAATTAATTTTGATCCCCTATTTCACGAGATCTACAATTTTTCAACTACACATTTTATCAACTTTTATCAAAATCTACTAAAATTTTAATTTTAATTTCCACTGTACAT